GGGGCCCTAGTTGTCTTTGAGAGCTGAATCCTGTTTTTTGAGTCTAAGAGCTTAAATAAATGTATTATGTTGCTTTATGCAGCATTATTCAGATTGCTTGCACTCCTTTGCAAGAACAGGGTGGAATAAAGCAAGGCATGTTTTATTGCAGAGTTTTAAAGATCCTGCAACAATTATGCCTCTGCTTAGCTGTATTCACATGAGAAATGAACTGGACTATGCCAAGGAGTAAAGACATTTAGAAATTTGGCAGAAGCAGCTCCTCATGCTTGTTTCCTGTTGAGGGACGCAACCTGCATGAGTCGTTGAGCTGGAATGTCACATTACACCAACTCTTTCTATACTTGGGCTTCACCTTTCTGACTTAGTTTCTGTGCTTTTAAAATGGAGATGACATTTACTTACTTTCTAATAATGTTGAGAGGATTAATTACATAATATCAAGGACTTAAAATGTATTTATTAAAAACTATGGATATTATTATCGGATTAAGCTATAATTCATGGCACTTAATTTCCTTTCCAACTAATATTTTGGCAGAAGTATCCTTGTTCTGAAAAGTTAACTAAGAAAAATAATTGCTTTACTGGAAAAAGTTAGGCTACAATAACATGTGGAGAAAGAAAAAGTTCATAGCAACATACTTTGTATTTTGTTAGTCGTGACCTATCGGTGCAAACTTGTCTTGCTTGCAAAAAGGTAGTTAATGTATTTAGAGTACTTGCAGGTTAAAAATTGTCATCTTATGATAATTTTATCATCTCATCAAGATTGGTCATGGTCTTCCAAGTATCTTCAATTAACAAGACTGGCCTCTTCAGATTCTGAGATTGGGAATTAATTACATATAGTTTTTGAGGATGTGCTCTTTGTTATTGGCAGTTGGGTGGGAGGGAATGTATGATTAGGCCAAGTGAATATCAGTCTGATTATTAGTTGTCAGACTGCAGAAAGAATATGCATTTTGAATGAAACATAATGTTTTCTAAAATGCAGAAAATATTTTCTACAATGTCACAGCTGAACTCCTTAGGTGAAACGACATTAAACTCAATGATTCCAGGCCTTCATGTCAGGAACTTCTGTGCTTTCCACTGTAAAATGAGATGAATGACAGCACCAGAACAGATTAACAGCATAAGTCTTATATGTTTCCTAATACTTTATTTAATGCTAGAGATGACTCCAAAATTATTCTTTTCTTGTTGTAAATTGACTTTCTGGTAAAGGAAAGAAAAAAAAAGAAAAAATGAAAACCAATTATTGTATTTATGAAGAAAACAATGCCAGGTATATTGCTGCAGTGCCTTGTAGATTTTATGAACGTAGCATGTTCACAGTGATTTTAGTATTATCCTAATGGTCCAAATTTCCTGACTGATGTATATCTCTCCTACCTTCTCTCATTCCAAATCACTGCACACTACACTTTGCCTTGTGTAGCATCACTTGCTTGTAGCACTTCAACTACTGATACTACAATTGCAGTTAAATGCCAGTATAGCTGCTTTAATGATAAAGTGTCACCAAAAGGTATAGTCCCTCCATGCCACACAGAGATACCATTTCAACTGTTAGCATTGGATTTAGCAGTCGTAGGATAAATTGCTTAGTAGGCTCATCCCCCATAAAGCTAACCACGCAGAAAACCTGCAGAGACTGGGTTTTGTTGAGTGATGATGAGTGAGCTGAGCTGCAGTAATATGATCACTAGATCCCATACGAGGAGAGCACAGGAACTTATGGAGAAGGGGAAATGGTGTGTGAGATCTTCCCCTTTGATGGCAGCTCACCCTTACACTGCCTTAGCTGTAATGTCAAAGTGATTGGTAAGACCCTGCAATGCATTACGCCCTTGTCCATTTTGTATAACATAATAGGTAATAAAATATCAGCAGTTCCCAAACTCTAGGGGTTGCTACCCTAAATGGATTTGCAACCTGAAACGAGAGGTGCAGAGAAAGGTCTAAATATCTTTGGCTGGGTTCAATGTTCTCACTGACCTCAAGAGTCTTTCATTATACTTCCTTTGAAAAAAACCTGCTGCTATTACATATATATCACTTGATGCCATAAAATGCTATTACAATAAAAGCGTGCATGAAACAGAAAGAAGAGAAACTTCCTATGGAGTTAGAAAACCTTGTCACAAATTATTGCTGCAACATGACTAGTAGTATAAAAGGCACATTGACTGTTCTGATTTTCAAAGGACATTTTTCTCTGAAGTAAATTCCACAGCAGGTCGGATGTTCACATCCTCGGGGTGTTTAGGAAACTAATGACTCTGAACAATCAAGCATGTATTTGCTGCACAAAAAGGCAAGATCAAAGTCATGTGAAAATGCACATATATTTTTAATATACTCCTTCGGAAAAATTCCAGAAAAACATCAGGTAGACCTTGCTAAACCTGTAGATTAGCGCCACAGAACTGCAGACACGGGACAGGAACGTACGATATAAGTCACACTGCTTTCCGTTCCTCAGTTTTGTTTGTGGCATAGATAAAAGGGCTAGCTATCCCCTTTTGAAGGAGCAAAGATAAAGATTCTTTTCATGAGAATACCTGCTGGGGAGCTGCATCTCAGTTAGATAATAAAAGATTTCCACCTTGGTGGAATCTCTCCTGGAGAGGATGAAGGGAAATGCTGTGGTAGGATGAACAGACATGATCAGAAGAGGTGTTGCAGCAAAGACAGGCTTTCAGAAAGCAGCAGAGCAAACTGCATTATCATGCTTCACAAGTGTTTGCCCCTGAAAAAGGCAGTAACATATTCTTTCTCTTGGACTGATGATGAGAGACAAGTGCAAAGCCACAGTCCAATTGACTTGAAAATTGCTTGAAAGAGAAGAACAAACAGGATCGTTCACCTGCTGAGGGGCTTCCCCCACTTCACCTACTTAAATTGAATACAAAAGTTTCTGTCTCATTCAGGCTAAGAGAGCATACAGGATCATAGAAACAGTTCTTTCACCATGAAGGACTCAGGAAACTTTTTCAAATAAAAAGCTTTTGTCTGGAGGTTTGGGGCAAAGAAAAGCAGGAGACGGTATCCAAGAAAGCCACATTCCAGTTTTTCTCCATCTAGTCTTACTGGCCTATATATTAAGGAGTAACTTCCTAGCTCATGATTTCAGACCTCTTTCAGGGTGGACATGATGAGGTGGAAGCTGACAAATGAAATATCTTGTTACGCTATTGACCAGCTCTGTGGAGCTTAAGCAGAACCCAAATATGTGGTCGCTAGCTTCTTTCAGAAATGGCTATTTACAGTGTTTATAAATTCAGGGACTTAACTTTTAATCTTTGCAACCTGTTAGAGAAAAAAAATTCACCATTTCTGCATCTTAAAAAATGTTTTTTGCGCAGCTCCCATCCACCCACATCCTCCTCATCCTACCCCCAAAAAGGTTTGTGAGGAAATAATTGAAAAAATATTTTTTCATGGGGAGATAAAACATTGCTGTGGCCTAAAGCTGTGTCACTTTCTCATTTATGTTCTGGAATAGAATGGCAAATCACTCCTGATATGTATTTTTGGGTGCCATAAATGTTGATGGAAAGGTAAATAATGACCAGGACAATGCACCCGCACAAGGCCAAGCAGATCCTTGATAAGCAGGACCTGTCCGTGTTTTAATATAATGTAGTGTTAGATTATGCTCCCAACAAGAATCATCAAATAAATCAAAAAGGAAAGTGGTAGATTCTGCACCTCTTTATATCTGTGGTTCAGGTATGAATCTCTTTTCAGAAGAAATGCCCTAAGTGAACACTGGTTGTTTAATAACCTGGGATAGTTTTTGGGCTTTAAGGACCTGCAGCAATACATGTTAATATCGCTGCTATGTAAACATGTGTTAAAATGTTTCGTAATTGAATAATGTTTATATAATATGTTTTAAAAATAAAGCATATAATTTTGCTTATGTGGTGCAAAGAATTCCACATCCATTTGTAACTTGCTGATTGAACAGGGATCGTTAAGGTGTAAAGCTTTGAATTCTTGACATTTTGCCTTCAATGATATGTAATTTAGGGGAGAAGGAAAGGTAAGGAAATGTCCACTTGGTTTATCAGGAAGCATTTGTGACAACAATTTCAGCACGAACATTCTACTTTTATTTCTTTAGGAATTTCCAGGAAAACCCAAAGCTTTTTTCGGTATGCCCAATTTAAGGCCCAGCCTGAATAGAAACACGCAGTTTTCAGTTATTCTCTGAGGCCTTGACAATACTGGAAAAACGAAAGCAAAATATTTTGAAAATCCTTTGATTTCAGGTGTTAATCAGTGTAATTAAAATGACACAGAATCAAATGTCATTTGGTGCAGTACGCGGAAGATGGTAGCTGTGCTTGTGCATATTTTCAGTGCCTAAGAAGCAAATCCTCTTAGGAAGCCTTTAAAATGCTGTTAAACCATATGCCATAAGACAATGCTAAATTTATGTTTTACCTCACATTCTGAAAACTATTTATATGACCACAGAGTGAATGGAAAAACACTCAACAGGAATCATGGTTTATATTGTAAGTTATAAATACGTTGAATTTCATTTATTTGCATGTTGTCCATTTTGAATATAGTTCAGATCTAATTCATGATTACAAAGTACCTAGTATCACGTTAGCAGCAGAATAATGTATATCGGTAGTTTGTTTTTTGATAAAGAGCAAATGTGCTAGGATTTTAGAACTAAAGCCTTTGGAAGCCATTTCCAAGCTTTTGAAGGACAGTTCTTATTCTTTGGAAACTGAATTAGAGATTAATTTATTTAAAATTATAAAACGTTTCTATTTGTTTTCTCTTTCCTTCAGCTCTGCTAAATGCATGGTAAGAGCATCCTCCTAAGTGGCTTACTTCATGGGAAATCTCATCTAAGTTTTAAACATTTTAACAGCTTTGAGTCAAGGGCCTGTTATACATATTCTTTGGTCTCTGATTTCATATGCATGAATACCTACTTTAAGCTAAGTAATTTTGCTTTTATTTAGAACTGAAACATGAGATCTATGTTTGGAGATTGACAGCACAGCGTATCAACCCTGCCAGCAGAGAAGAGACGGCAGTGAAATGCCTCTTGATGCAGAAGGTCCTGACTCTGGAGATACTCTTGAGGAAGAAGCTCAGAACCTTCCACAGGTGAGCGCATGCCAGCTCACATCCCCTGGCCCAGTCCTAGCAGGACAGACATTGGTGCTACAGGACAAAAAAGGGACAATCTACAGGGATGGGCAGTTTGTAGGACCAGCCTCATTTCGGTAGGGGACTCCTAGTAGTTTAATCTGCAATTAGGAGTGACAGCGTGGCTTTGCTAAAATCAGTGGTGAGATTTCTATTCTATTCAATTGGCCAAGTGCTCACCTCTTGTAATTTTAAGCAGAAATGACAGTGAAGATCAGTGGGTTCTTCACTAGGGCATGACCTTATGTTCTTAGTCACCTTTTGATCACGTGGGTGTCGGGGCAGGTATGAAGAACCAACCTCAATCTTAGTAAAACACAAAATATTTTAGGACAAAACTCACATCAATACCACCTAGATTTTAAGGGCTAGAAATTTCAAGTAGTTTGGGGGTAAAAAACCCACAGGTATATTATTAGACTTTTCCTTGCAATAGCAGCTTCAGTGTAGTAAAATGCTACATATATCTTTTTACATTGAAAAATTCAAGTGTTTTTCAGTGAAGTGATGAATTTGGAAAATATTCCATCAGTTAATTACTGCATTTTAAAATTATTTCGTAATCAAATCTTCAGTGTTAAGCTGAGTGTAGCCGTAATTAACTTTTTTATGTATAAAAAGGCAAACTTTGTATGGACTATGACTAATAAAAATAGTAAACCTATTTTGTTTATGTTCCAGCAAAAGCAGCTGCTGCTCTATGGAATTGGACATCTGAGAAATTTAGCAGTGCTAAATATTCTGACAGTGAAATTGACTCTAAGCTAACATGAAACTGAAATAATGACAATTCATTAATAAATGTGTTAAATAGGCAGTATGAGCAAGGACATGTAAATTTGATATCTGAAACTATTCCAGTAGTAAGGTGATTTTTGTTTACATAGATTTTTTGCTGATGGTGTGCACCTTGAATGGTCTGACAGTATTACTATTAAAAGACAAAAAAATCAATCTGTTAAAATAACCGCCTTTTCAACAAGATAACAATAATTAGACACTACGACCTTTTAAAGAGGAGACTTCGGAAGCGTAAATAAAAATCATGTATTTGATTTTGAGAGTCAGGATTCCTCCAGCACAGAGTAGCAACATAAAAATCCATTAGTGTTAGCAACAGAGCTCCTGAGCTGCAAACTCCAAGGCATTTTGCTGGAGGGCTGACCATGCTGATAAAACAATGAAATTATTCAGATCTTTAAAACTTCATTATAAAATACTAATGTAAATTGTATATATTCTGACTTGTCAGTGTTATCACATGACCCTTGTTTTATCGCAAAAGGACACACATCAACTTCTGAAACTATTAAGGGAACTATGTACTGCTTATTGCCAGATCCTATAGTGGGACAGGCTAGTTCTTTCCAAAACTGTGGGACTTTCCTTGAACAGGAGGGCCTGTGCACACTGAGCGTGTTACACAAGTGGAGCCTTAAGTGACTTCTCATGGGAGTTTTCCTGTTGGCCTCAAGAAGGCCAGAGTCCCTTTGTGGTATGAGTTACCACATACAGGGAAAAGGACAGTCTAGTTGTGATGAGCGGGATTTATTCCAGTACTCTTCGCAGAGCTCTGGTTTCACCCTGGGAAAAAGCAGGTCTTTCTCTCTCTTTCAGGCAAATTTCACAAGAAGATAAAAACTGGGAAACAAATATTCAGGAACTCCAGAAAAAAGTGAGTAGATGGCAGTTCTTCTCTGTATCAATATAAGTGGGCCTCTACCTTTATAGACAGTGCAGAGAGTGCTTTGAATCCGATGTAAATCTAGTAACTCCCATGAGGAGAAGAAAAGCTGGCAGGCAAGCAGCCTGCTTCTCAGTGGGACAGAGTTGCTGAACAACGTGACAGTTTTCATCAGGTTTTACACTTATGTTCCTTAGAAAAGTATTATTTAAAGGATCAATAAATGATTCCACAGTATTCTCTTAAATTTTTAATCTGTGCCTGGAAAGACTCAGAAGAGGTCAATAGGTTGTTTATAACCATGAAATATAACTAGACAATGAACTACCACAGGTACTTAATTGGTACTTGAACTACAGCTGTACTTAATACCAGCTCTAATTTACTGCATTGTATGTAACGTGTCTGTTTTGTCATTCAAATATGGATAAAGCATTTGAATAAATCCCACTCTTTTCGCTGCACACACATTAGCACTGTCTGTCTTTATGCTAAAGCTGAGTCTGATGAGGTGCACGCTCCCTAGGGGGATGAATTTCACCTAACTTTACCTGTCTAAACATCATCTCCTCTCCACCTCACCAGCATCACTAATGAATCCAGGCCTATTATTTTTGGGGTGGTATTCAGGAGCTCAAGTCCTTGACTGGGACCTAGCTGTCCAATGAGCTATACCAAAACAGAAAGAGAACAGGATTCCTTATTAAGCATTAGACCTTTTCCCAAGCGTTGCAAAAAAGACAACTTCATTAAAGAGTAGAGATTAAATTGTATTTTTATAAAGTTTTAAATTGTGTGGAAGAGATTGGAAACAAGAATGGTACTCATGCTAGGAGAAGGTGATTCCCTGGGTTGGTGGAGAAAATAAGACTGGAGCAGAGAAGTAGAAGGAGCCTGGGTCTGAGCAGGAGATGTGAGCAGCCAGGAATGGGGACGCAGGAGCTTGGCATGTCCATGAGAGAGGGGGAGGGTGGATGAAAGATCTGACCTGTAGGTAAGGTTATAGGTTTTCAGAGCATAACTGCAACAAAGAGCGATTTTTTCCAGGCTTATGAAACCGCAGAAGACCTGGAGTTCCCTCTGTAGTAGGAACTGCATTTCAACCATGCTTTTCCTACTGTAACAATGGGGGTAGCTGAACATAACTGAATGTATTCAGAAGAGGCTAGCTACTTATTTCTCTTACATTCACACTAGGCCTCCCTACATATTCATGATTTTATAGGTATGTGTGAAATGCTTCAATTTAAATATTTCTGCCTTTTATGCTGAAAGGGGTTTATACTATGCAGGAACAGCAGATTGTGCTTAATGCATGCTTTTGTGAACTTTATGCATAATAGATAGCTCCGTCTTTAATATAGCTGTTGAATTTTTTTTCTGTTTACAGCACAGAATAACAGACAAAATTCTTCTCATCAAATGCCTGACTGTCTTGGGGTGTGTTATTCTTATGTTTTTTCTGAACTCATTTGTTCCAGGCATCCACCTAGATCTTGGTAAGTTTCATAGTTTTGCTCTATTTAAGTAGAAAAAGCAGTAATATTTTTCTGCATCTGGATCTGTTCAGAGAGTCCACTTCTACATGTCTATCACAATTCCACCATGTTAGTCAGAATGGAAGTTTCTCAGAATAAGTTTTAAAATGCAGTCATATATGCCAGTCACCCCAGGAGGAAAAATAGGTAGTTCTCATGCCTTTATTTTTCTGACTTCCCACTATTAACTGGGTGGATACACATTACAGAATAAGCAAACTTGATCTTGGCATGATCTCACTGTAGGTTTGAATGAGTGACCAAGATTCATTGTAGACCTCAGAAAATAATCACTCTATATAAGAATGCTAAAGTACTCTGGCATTTGTTAAGTATCAATAATTCTATAACTTCCAGTCTCCATTACTTTATTGCCAGAATAAATCATTTCCCAAAATAAAATCAAGGAGACACTGTGTATATGTGAAATGAAAGCATTATAGATGTTGAAATAGGAGAAGTGGATAGATGCATATTTTACATGCACAGAACTAGATGCATAGGTATTTGTATAGATATGTGTATGTCTACATGAGGAAATGCTCCACATGTCCTGAAAACAGAACCAAATTAAAGCTCACATATAACTGAAGAGCAGTCATAAAACTGATCTGTGCATTGGCCTATAAAAATTTAACAATTTTTTAGGCTGCTAAGCACTAGGAAGGAGGGAAATTTCAGATTTATATTTTCTAGTGCAATCTTAATTCTTCTACTGTGTCTGGAGCAATGTGTTTTAGTAGATACAGCTAAGTTGCTAAATGCATTTATTCCTGGGATTGATCCTTCACCCTGGATGCAAAGCCATCTGGAATAATGTTGAAGGACTGAACAGAGCAGAGAGACCCTGACTGGATGGTGTCTCACCTATGCTGTTTTTTGGGCACAATCCCTGAAAATAATTGTCTCTAGAACTACACCTGGTTTATTTTTATTTCAGAGGAAACAAGATGGGTCACTCCAAAAAAGGAGTGTGGGAGCAAACCAACACTTACGCAAGGGGGACTAAGACATTGCTGTGGACTTAGGCTGACAGTGCAGATACACTCAGCAAGACCTTGTTAGCATGCAGGAGGAGTCCCAGGGCCATGGAGCAGTATGAGGTTAGAAAAGGAGATACCTCAGCCAGGCTTTCTTCTCCTTTTCTGCCAGTGTCACAGCCAAACATACTACCTTCCAGATTATTTGCTGGGGAAATGGGTAATTTCAGTCAATAAAGATTATTGGCTGTTAACATGTTGAACGGTTTATTGAGATATTATAACAGCAAAAGAGCTATATTACTGAGGTGCAGGACGATGGAGGAATTAAAAATGTGGGAAGGCATTTGAAGTTGCCATGGCTAAGAATATAAGGAGGGAATTCAGAAAGAAGTCAGTTTTCACCCTTACGTTCCTGACTCTGATAAGTAGGCACTGAACCATGTAAGATTTTATGAATTAAACGTAACAACTAGAAGTATTTTTGAAAACACACACACAGTCAGTTAAAACTACACAGCACTGGCTGCATATACCCTTCATAAGGTATGCCCTCTACACTGTAAAGTAAGTGGAGTCAATATTGGAAGAAACTTAATAACTCATCATTACTATTTTTGTGCTATTTTACATAAATAAAATAAATGAAAAAGTGGCAAAGCTGGCAATGCAGGTTTCTATTATTCATTACCTGATCTTCACCTGCAACCTTGAAAGTACATATGGGCTACCTGTACTCTGTATCATTTTTCCCTGTTAGGCATTTGTGGCAAACAAAACAAATTAATGAAGAAATGTTTTTAAATCATATGCCTAATTTTTATTAACATTCAGTGGAACCTGAAGGCTTGTACTGAGATGTTATTGGTGACTCCTGAATTCCACTATCTTGATGTCAGCTATCAGTTATATACCATTACTGAAGTAATGCTAGTGTGATTCTCCATGGATTTTAATCCTTCAGTGCACAGAAATACATTTCCTAAAATACAGCACATCTTGTACTCTGATGGTTTGGTTAAATTTCTGCAATATGTTTTTTTTCATAAAGATGAAAGTAGATTGTCTTTAATTCAGTCTTTAATTTTCTACCAGAATAATGTTTTATACAGAAGCTGAAGTGTTAGAAATCTAATAACTTTTAATTGCATTTGGTAGAGTGAATTAGAGAGATTACAAAATTCTTTATCAGTCCCCAGCCTTGATATAATTTTTCCATTATTAATGTGGAATCATTGATATAATTTGAGGAAACTGACATTTTAATTTAAATAACAAAATTAGCATACTTGACAGTCTTTTAAAATGCAGAACACCTTCCTACTCAGTTTTCTTATACCTGCTCATCAATTTATTTAGTCTAACCCTATGGAATATCTATGTCAATGCAAGGTTAATACTGAGACTTTAAATAAACAGATATGGAAAACTTAAAGCTAAGACTTTCACAGTGTCTTTGTTCTGCCCCTCCTCTGCATTAATAAAGCATCTGAGAAAAGAAAACGATGAAAGTAAAGTCCCTTTGAGAATTGTACCTGGATCCTGTGTTGGCTTTAACTTTTAGGCAGACATGTATAGACCTTTGAACTATAGTGAGAGCCCCTCCAAAGAGACCAAAGACTTTCAAAGTAAAATAAAGCAAAGTTTAATTAAAATATAAAATAGATTTTTTGTTAATAGAGGATGCTCAAAATGAGCCGGTCACTCCTGATTCCATTCTGGTTACTCTGGTGTTATGGATGGCTGTGCAGCAGACATTCACAAGCTAATTACCTTTAGCTCCCCTTAAGATAATCAATGGAGATGATGAATAATCAGTGGAGGTGATCAACAGATGTGACTCATCAGACCTCCTTTAAAGGTCTAATTTACAAAAAGATTCACCTTACCCTACATCACTTTGCTCCTTGTAAAGCAGAGATCATCTTATCAAACTACAGTAAATTTTAGTCACAAATAACTGAAAACAAAAACATAGCAGTTGGATGGACATTTGGCTTGGTGCTTGATAATTCTGGAATTTTGTTACTAACTAAAATCAACTTTGGTATTATTAACAGAAGAAGTGCTAGCAAAGAACTCAAACATATCCACTGTTAAAAAATCGTGGTTTTACTCTTTTAAACAACCAATAGGATCACTATGACCTTTCCGGATAGTTGGATAAGTTCTCTAAATCAAAATTCACGTCAAGCAAACATCCTAGGCCTAAATTTTCACTGTTGTCCTTTCTCTAAAGCTAAAATTTCTCCATGTGTACAGTGAACTGTTATTTTGTTTGACAAGAGCTCATTTATGTAGTTAAATCTAGCTTCTCTTGGAAAACTCTCTCTTGTTATCTATATTCACTGTGGTTTAACTTTTGACTGTCTTGACTTTCTGTATTCAGCAAAATTCTGCTGCAGATCCTTTTGAGGATCTGAAATAGGAATGCATTAGCAACTTTTCTTGACTTGTGGTATCTTGAAACATTTGAAACCTGTGACTCAAATAGCGTAAAAGGAATACATTCATGGTTTTCATTTAATTTAAACTGTTGTCTTTGTGTTCAGTAGGTCATAGTGTGCAGTCTCCTTTTTATTTTATTGCCATTGCATTAAATGAAAAATGTGTTCAATTGCTGCAGATACAAAAGACTCTTGTTGTATTGTCACTCCTTTAGATACTAGTTGTCATATTTTCTGACTCTTTTCCATAATTTATAAGAAATTTTGAAGAAATTCAAGGGAGAAACTAAATACCTTAATTGGAAAAGGCAGAACAAAAACACAAATGATGTATACCGTGAATATTATGCAAATTGTAATGGAAAATTTGTCTTACTATGCAGAGGAGTGACACTCTAAAGAGAGTGGATTGGCTCTAAAGTTACTCTAATATATTTCTCTTGATTTTTGTCCTGCTTTTATTTAAGTGGACATGCACAATTGTCAGCTTTTACTGTAATTTACATAATTTGAATCAATAATTATAGTAGACTAGGGGCTGAGTGACATTTGTCTGGTAGATTGCTTAGTGATGAAGAAAGGCCTGCATAGCCCTAAAGCACTTCATGAACTCCCTTGCTGTTGAATCACAGAACTAAAATGCTGAATGTCAAAAGTTCTGTATCAATATTTACTTGGCTTGGAAACACTGAAGCTAGTTCTACTGTAGCCTACTAAGATTTTAACAACTAACTTCCTTCATTTTCTTTTGTGCAACATTTTCAATAAATGGTACGAAGAATCAGCCGCAGCAATGGTTGTTCCTTAACAACTTCGAGACAGATTGGCAGGATCAATATGCATAAAGGCTTGCACGAAAATTAGTATGGCTGTAACCTGTGCTGGAGACTTTAAATCTAGAGATCTTTAACTAAATCATGTAATCTCTGTAAGATAAAAAAGAATGAATATTGCATTAGTAAAATAAATGTAGTGTGTGGGTTTTTTGTCTTGAACATGCAGTGCATCTGCCTAAGAGGATCTGTAATAAACTTTTGTCCCCAACACCTGTCTTGGCCTTGGGACACAGTACGTGCATTTGAATTTATACTTGGAAGTTTCTTTTGAATGGTGAAAAGATTTTTTAATCTGAATCACTCCACAGCAGCTCTGTGGGTGAAGTCCCAGCTCACTGCGCGCTGCAGAACTTGCCAGGTTAAAAAAAATATATAAATCACCATGCAGCAGGAGTTCATGCCTGAGAAAAACATGGACAGATTCCATTAGTCTGAAAGGTGTGTTAACTCCAGAGCATCTGCAAGGCCCCTGTTTTTACACTTTGAACTGTTATTCTGTAACTTCTTTCTCATCTGCTGTTGGTGATAAATAGATTAAACCATCTTATGTCACCATACTGTATGATGGTGGAGTTGTATAAACCTATTGCTGTTCACAAGCAATACAATTATGTGAAGAGAAAGAAACAAACTAGATTCTCACTTTTTCTAAACATTTGTACACATAGAGAGGGAGCAGAAGAGAAATGTTTTTATTT